CCTCAAGTGCAAGGCCCACGAGCACTCGCTGCTGCGCTGCTCCCACATCCGCTGGGACGTCCATAACTGCGACCACTCCGAGGATGCTGGTGCTGTCTGCGGCATCCTATGACCACCCACCCGCCGGGACCCTTACACCGGTACGGGGAGGGACGGGGACAGTGGAGGGAGCTGGTGGCGATGCCCATGGAGAGGGGCTGAACGCTGGCTAATGGTCGGGGACACTCACTCTCTGCCTCAGTTTCCCCACTCGCCCCACAGGGGCACTGGCTGGGTCCTCCCATGGGCGTTTGGGCTCTGAGGATGGGAAGAGCTGGGTGGAGATGGGGCTTTTCTCAGCTCCTAAAATACTGGCGGAAGCTTCCCTCCTCCCCCCTTCCCCCCCCGAACTGCCCCTTGGAAAAACAAAACCATTTTCGGTGTGAAATCTGGTTGGTATCAGCCATTTCATTGAAGAGCTGAGGAGAGAAAAATGGATTTTCTGCTGTGAAAATGACGTTAGATTATATTCAGAAAATGTAAAAAGGGGCTGAAATAAACCCAGGATATTCCAGAGGCTCTGCAGTGAGTTGCTGCCATTCTGCAATTTGCTTTGCAAACCTCCCAGCAATCTGAATATCAGGTTTTCCTTCTCATTTTGGCGGAAGAAATACCGAGTCCTCCCCAGTTTCCATGCCAGAACACAGGTACAATCATATAAGTATTTCTACTCAGAGTAATGCTTCACAGACTATTTATCACTACGTGTTTCCCTTTACACCTCTGTATTTCTTTTCCATATGCCGCTGGGTTTGCGGAGAGCTCGGCCGAGATTTCCCTTCCCTGGGGGACTCCGGCACAGCCAGTCCCTGCCAAAAAAACCTCCTTGGGGAGCGAGGAAGGACCGGGCTCCCCACAGCCTCCCCATCCTTCCTCCATCCTGCACGGTCCGGACCACCTCTGACTGCTCCGTGATGTTCCCAGGTGTCCGGGGCAGGCAGGGAGCTGGCAGACAAAGGCAGGAGCAGACGGAAAACCCTAGGGAAGACCCCAAATCCCTGCTCAGGGTGAGGGGAGGATGGCGGTGCCGAATCGGGGAGCTCAGTCCCTCCCTGCTGCAGTGCCTTTGGGGTAAAGGCTGTTTCTCTCCCAGCTCAGCTGGAAGGACCCAGCCTGCAGCATCAGCCGCCTTCGCCATCAGCCGGTCCTGATTTCCAACGGGATACGGGACAAAACGGTCTTCGTGTTGTCATCGATGGGGGGCGAGGGTGGGGAAGGGCTCGCGTGGCGGCGCGGAGCAGGACCCGGCTGCCGCCGCCAAGTCCCGGGCGCCCGCCGCCACCGCCGCCGCCGCGCTCGCTCCTCTATTTGTGCAATTCTTTTGTTAATACTAGATTGTGCGTATTCCTGGGGTTTCCCCCCTCCCCTCCCGTTTTTCTTATACACGTTTGGGTTTGTTTTGTGAATAAATAAAAGCCCTTTGAAAGTGTGCTGAGACCTGGCTTGCTTCCCTACCACCCCGCTCCAAACCCAGGCGGGAGCAAACAGCCGGGAAAGCGGCGATGCCCGGAGCCCAACGGCGATGCCCCGAGCCCAACGGCGAGGGCTCGGCTCTTGCTGCCAAAAATTGGCACAAATCCCTTGCCGGCCCCCGAGCAGCCCTCGATTCCCACCCGGCTGAGAGCCAAACTCAGACCCTTCCCCACCGCAGCTCCGGGGACACAGCCCTGACCCCCTCCAGGCTCGGGGAGGGGATGAGGTTGAGTCCGGCTCCGGGTTTGTTCCTGGTGGGATTTGGCAGCTCCGTGGGTTTGCGGGGTCGCTGCTGAAGTGGATGCGTTGCCGTTGTGCGGCTGTATGGGCTCTGCAGTGCTGACGGCAGTAAATTCAGTGTTGCTTGCTAACGAGCAGATGGGAAGAGAGACTGTCCTGGGAGCTGCAGCCCCTGCTGCTGCCTGCTGCTGCCTGCAGCGAGAAGCTGTGACCGTGGGGATGGGGACCGGGAGAGAGGGCTCCCCAATTTGGTGAGGCTTTTCTGCCCCCCGATCGCCGGTGGTGGTGGCCTGACCAGCAGCGTGCTGTGAGATGGCGTGTCCCAGCCTCTGCGGGCATCGGGGACGTGTCCCCCGAGCAGCTCCCAGGCTGGTGCGGGTCCCCTCGGGGGTCATTGTCCCCTACTCCAGCAGCCAGCATCAGGCTGATGTCTGGCCCCCCTCCGCCGCTTTCCCAGCAGTTTGCTTCCAGTCCAGATTTCCACTGGGGAAACTGAGGCATGGAGGAAACTGAGGCACTGGGGAAACTGAGGCACTGGGGAAACTGAGGCATGGAAGCACCTCCCAGGCAGACCATGGCGGCACAGTTGGAGGTGGGCTTGCCGGGACCCTGGGAGAGGGCAGGGAGGTGGCGTGTGACTAAAACCTCTCCTTTTACTGGGTTCCCAGGTCCTGCATGCTTGGCTGCTTCCTCGCCTCCCCCCCCGGCCCTCCCCAGCTGCTGCCACCACCACGTCCTGCCTCACGTCCTGCTTCTGTGACGGTTGGGAGATGCCTGGGTCCTGCCGGGAGCAGGAGGGGGACAGGACTGTCCCTGGCAGCCCGCCTCTGGGTCAGAAGGTGCTGTGGGCTCCACCAGCTTTGCCCCCTCTCCCTCCATGGCTGGGGGAGGCGGGGAGGGGGCTGGTGGCCAGGAGCTGCCCTGGAGGCTGCTGCCTCCTGGGGTGGGAGATGATGAGAAAGGCTGGCTGAGTTTTCCCTGTTTTCCTTGGGGACTGTGCCTTGAGCCAGCAAAGCCGAGTTTAGTGTCACCCCACACCCTGCTCCTCTTCGCTTTGGACTGGGAAGAGCAGGTCCTGCGCTCCCCGTGGGCCTTCTCCCTCCCACAGCCTGCAATCCGGCAAGCAAAGGGTTTCCAGCCAGGAGACACAGCAGCCTCCTCCCTTGTCTTCCAGCCTTTTCTCCCAAATACAGGGCTTGGGATGCACTGGGATCCACAAGGATCCCCCCCGATACCCCATGCCCAAGCTGGGCATCATCTCACTGGGAGCAGGGAGTGACAGGTAGGGTGGGAGCAGGGTACCAGCACGGGGGATGCTCTGGCCCTGGAGCAGGGTACCAGCTCGGGGGATGCTCTGGCCCTGGAGCAGGGTACCAGCTCGGGGGATGCTCTGGCCCTGGAGCAGGGTACCAGCTCGGGGGATGCTCTGGCCCTGGAGCAGGGTACCAGCTCGGGGGATGCTCTGGCCCTGGAGCAGGGTACCAGCTCGGGGGATGCTCTGGCCCTGGAGCAGGGTACCAGCTCGGGGGATGCTCTGGCCCTGGAGCAGGGTACCAGCTCGGGGGATGCTCTGGCCCTGGAGCAGGGTACCAGCTCGGGGGATGCTCTGGCCCTGGAGCAGGGTACCAGCTCGGGGGATGCTCTGGCCCTGGAGCAGGGTACCAGCTCGGGGGATGCTCTGGCCCTGGAGCAGGGTACCAGCTCGGGGGATGCTCTGGCCCTGGAGCAGGGTACCAGCTCGGGGGATGCTCTGGCCCTGGAGCAGGGTACCAGCTCGGGGGATGCTCTGGCCCTGGAGCAGGGTACCAGCTCGGGGGATGCTCTGGCCCTGGAGCAGGGTACCAGCTCGGGGGATGCTCTGGCCCTGGAGCAGGGTACCAGCTCGGGGGATGCTCTGGCCCTGGAGCAGGGTACCAGCTCGGGGGATGCTCTGGCCCTGGAGCAGGGTACCAGCTCGGGGGATGCTCTGGCCCTGGAGCAGGGTACCAGCTCGGGGGATGCTCTGGCCCTGGAGCAGGGTACCAGCTCGGGGGATGCTCTGGCCCTGGAGCAGGGTACCAGCTCGGGGGATGCTCTGGCCCTGGAGCAGGGTACCAGCTCGGGGGATGCTCTGGCCCTGGAGCAGGGTACCAGCTCGGGGGATGCTCTGGCCCTGGAGCAGGGTACCAGCTCGGGGGATGCTCTGGCCCTGGAGCAGGGTACCAGCTCGGGGGATGCTCTGGCCCTGGAGCAGGGTACCAGCTCGGGGGATGCTCTGGCCCTGGAGCAGGGTACCAGCACGGGGGATGCCCTGGCTCTGGAGCCCAGTGTGAGCATGGGAGATGTGTTGTCCCTGGAGCAGAGTACCAGCACAGGGGATGCTCTGGCCCTGGAGCAGGGTACCAGCATGGGGAATGCCCCAGCCCTGTAGCCCAATATGAGCATGGGGGATGCGCTGGCCCTGGAGCAAGATACCAGCACGGGGAATTGCCGGTGGCATGAGAGCATCCTGCTGCGGGACCACAGCCAGGCCGCGGCGGCTGCGTGGGAGTCAGGAGAAGCCGCGGTGCCTGCCCGGCTTTTCTCCTCTTGCCGACGTCAGCTGTTTCACCGCGCCTGGAGCAGCTGCAGTTCCACACTGGTCGATGCCATCGATTAGATCCTCTCCCTGTCCCTGGAGAGGGGACGGTGCTGGGGGCGGCAGGGGGGAGAGGATAAATATTTCAGCAGGCTCAGGCAAAAGCTGGGGTTATTTTGGGGCTGGGATTTATGGGCTATTAGGAATAAGGAATGAGTCTGTGCTGGGGAGAGGAGACCCATTAATCCAGGCTGAAGGAGCACAAATGAGCAAGGGGAAATGGAGGAGGCTTTAATTATTTCGCCGTGTTCCAGAATAATAAGCCGGGTCCCCAGCCAAGAGCTGGTGTGGGGCTTGGGAGCTCTGCTCCCTGGAAGCTGAGGCAGGAGAGGGGGCACTCACAGTTAAATCCCCCCTAGCTGGATGGGCAGCGCTGGGAGGGATGGGGGTCCTATTCCGAGACCAGTACGAGACCAGTACAAGCAGCGTTGCTGGCTGGGACAGGGAATGGAGGATGCGTTGCAGTGGCGGGAGGCTGCAGAGCGTGGGGATGGCTGGAGGGGCGCGTGGGTCGGTGCCTGGTCCCAGGGGTGCCCTTCCCAGGCTGGCCACCCCCGCCGTGCCCCGTTAAGGCAATCCCGCCTGCGTCTGTAACCGGAGGAGCTGGGCACCGGTGCAGGGGTGAGTCACTGCCGGAGGCAGCCCTGGCCTGGAGAGCATCCCTGGCTCTGCTGCACCCAGCACCACCTGGGTGACCTTGGGCTCTGTTCCGCTCCCCGGCTCACCATGTCCCCACTCCGGCT